CACATTAGTACTGCAACTGACCTCGAAAAAGACGCTTAGTTAACGAGTTTAATGTTCCGGAATAACACACGGCCGCAAATTGTTTTAAATGATAGAATAATATCTATATTTTATTTTCCGTCTAGTCGTAAAAAGTTTCTATGGTCACATTTTTGTATTTAAGTCCTTTAATGGGGTACCCCTCAATTTACGGTTTTGGGTAGTCACTTTAAAATCCCAAAACTAAATGTTTTTGTTAAATTTTCCGCCACTTTCGTAAAAATTTTCGATGCACATATCATCTAGGATCATTTGAATGATGAAGCCATAAATATAATACCATCCCCGAGTAAAACTTTCAAACTTAAAGTTGACTGTTTTCAGATGGAAATTTAACGCGTTTTTCTTTGAAAACGAGAAAACATATGATTCAAAAACAGTATTTGACATTTGAGAGGACAAAATGTATTATTGCAATACTGCATGCAAATTTTGTTGGGCAAATTCCAAACAATTTTGTCAAAAACTCAAAAATAAAAACATCATTTGTACCTTTTTAATTACGGAAATTTCCTATCCGTCAATCAGCTCCACCATTTATTTTTTCCTTAACAATGAATTTGATAGTTTCGATGAAATTATGTACATTTTCTAGGATAAGTTAATTTATTTTTGAGAGATTTGAATATATATAGTAGTTCTTTCGTGTATTTTATGTTAATAAGTTATATTTTAGTTAATAAAATTTTGACTTTTTAATAAAAGTTAACCAAATCCTTCGGATAAGTTGTTTTCCCGGATAATGACTAGTTGATATTGTGTGGGAAAAATACATTGTATGTCAATGTTCAACCTCAAAGCAATAAATATGCATGCAAGCGGTTCGGGGGAAAGTACTATTGAAGTTTTGCAGAGATTTGGTGTGTAACAAGGTAATGATACAACCAACTTCTTTTGATATTCTGCTTTTCTTGGGCGAAAGAGTTGTGAATCATCAGTGATGTTATAAGACTTACACCAGAAGGCAAAATTGTAGCTACTTTTAATTAGAAACAACAGAAAGCCATATATGTGATCAAACTGATGCACATGTATCCTCACAACCTGACACTTTTATTCGATCTCGCGCTCAGTTTCCTCCTTGTAGTTAAAAATTACAGAAAACTACACAAAACTGAGTCGTCTGAACGTGTTGACGGTCATTTGAGGTGTGCTTGTGTGAGTAATCATTTATCCATGCATGGCATGGTAAAGATAATCGCGAGTACAAATTTATTTTCAAATTCAGTCTACCTTTCAGCATGCATCACCAAGTACTTATTGAAGTCAACACATGTGTAATCAGGTAAAACAGTTACTAAAAATTAGAATTTGAAATTGGTTGTAAGTAATGGTCTGTTCTTTCATAAAAAGGCCTTTCTCATGTAGCACATCCTCGAAATATACCGATCACTTTCACCCAAGATTGTCTCTGATGCTTACCAAACTGCAAAACTCCAGAACTAACTAACTAGATATAATGGCACCTTGCAATTCAGACACAGCAAGGCCAATGGATATCAAATATAGAGTTTAGCTCTGAATTCAATGTAGGGGATGCCATATCTGTTGCAGGAAAATTGAAGTCTATGTTAAGACTTTCAGAATTACACCAAGGTCTGTCTGAAGATATCAAGGATACATAAAAAGAAGAACAATTACTTCACTGTGCCGCCAGCGCTCTTATGAGCTCGTTGGATGTTTCTATGGAAAAGATGCCTGTATCGCTTTTGTAGTTCATTTGTTAGTTAATTGATAAAAAATCACACAAAGGCGCTTCTGAACCGTATTTTGTCCCTAAAGATAACAAAAAATCGTAAATGTATGGCTATTAGAAAATAAATCGTTTCTGTATCAACATTCGCCCCACTACATTTGGGATTGACCGTGCAGTTATATCATAAATATGGGAATATGGGTCACGAATATTGATAGAAACTTTGTACTCACATGTCTTTTGTGTTTCCTATGCAGAGGTAAGACTATACCTGACAAGCATTGCCATGCACGAGTTTGGCCGAATCAAGACGGTATTTTCGCTCCAGATAGCATTGTTGCAAAACACCAAGGGGGATGTTTGATACAAAAAGGTGCTGACAATATAGTCACCAACACGGAGACAATTGATAGTAAGGAACGTTTCATTCCATGGCACGAGCAGACTTTCAGGTTTCTCGCTGCATTGAGGACCCACTGGTAGCCTTCGGCTGTTGTCTGCTCTATGGTCGGGTTGTTGTCTCTTTCGGACACATTCCCTATTTCCATTCTCAATTTTATTATCAATCCGCAATTGAATCCAGAATGCGTCAGATGAAAGTGAAGAGAGGTCAAGATAACACTTTTCAATTGACTGACAGTGCATCATCGTTGGCGGCTGTTTCATTATACCAAAGGTAATAGAGGTCCTGTTCGTGTTCCGAATTCTTTCAAAAATTCGACCGGGAAGACAAAAATGGATAAACCCCATCATTTGTCATGTGACAAATGTCATCAGATTACTTACAGGATTATCTTTGTACCTGCTAAGGCAAATCTTTGTGCTCAAAAGCTGTGTTTGCTTTCAACAAACTCTGTTGTAAATATAATACGCATGCTGAATCCGCATATGATGACGAATTGATTGATTAACATCCCTGTTTAATAGGGATGTCAACGAGTACTCGAGTACTCGAGTATCGCTCGGTAGTACCGAGTATCGAATACCAAAATGATACTCGACTAATCGGTTTTTGTTAGAATGGTGCACATTGCCATCTATTATGAAAAAAAAGATTATTAAGAGAAATTAATTAAAATCAAAATACGTTCAAAATGTTTGTTCTTAATTGTCAATTAGAGTTCCTCCTGGCAAAGGTAGGCTATAAACAAGAGAACATTGCCATGGCTTACGCTGATGACTAATCGTGTTAAAGTCATTCCATTACCTCAAATATTTTCAGCAGGACTGTTAGTTACGTTACAAAGTTGAGAAACGATTCGTCCAAGAAAAAGTTGATAAGATAATATTTCTAAAGAAATTATAAAATCTTTGCACCCTCTGTCGACCCTCCGAAAAGCGAAATAGTATTTAATGAAACTAAGGCTATTGTATTTCGCTTTTATAAGACAAGTTATATAAGGGTCATGACTGATTTTAAATTACAACATTAGCAAATTGACATTACATTGTATTATTTTCCATCACTTCTCTAAAAAATTGATGAGTCTACACTTTTTTGCACAGATAATCCCACTAAGACAATGTTCATGCACCAAACTGACTTTGTTTTACACTCAAACAAACGCTTACTCAATGCAAGTCACACATATGATTTTTTTTTAAACCTCGCATTCGCCTCGGTTGACTATGGTATTTTTTTGTGTTATAACTGATCTGTCCAGACTTTGCAAATACACAATATGTACTTATCTATAACTAGATACTAATTTTCACAAAATACACAACCTTTTAGATACAAAATTAAAAACACTGTTTCAGTGCTTGAATTTTGTTTTTTTCAAAGATCGAAAAATATTGAAATAGTTTGATAAACTGGTGTTTTATAGTTTAGAAAATAATTTTGTAATATACTGAAGTGAAAAAGTATAAACAATATGAAAGTTTATGGATGTGAAAAGGTCAAGGCCACCTCTTCTTTTGCTATGTCATAAATGGCAAAAAATCAGAAGGTTCCAAATCAACGCCATTTTGTAATGGCAGCTTTTCATATAAGTAGTCAAATTTGTCGTTTTATCATCGTTTGTAGTATATGCTTATGATTGAACCGTTTTTGTAGCATTCCATTGACTATATATCAGAAAATTTCTCCTTTTTGTCCTTGTAGTTGAAATATTGATATTTTTAGGTCTGACCTTTGACCTCAATTTTACAAAAATGTGACCACTCTGGATTTTTACGACCAAACTTTTCTTATTGTACACGTTTTCCTCTTTCCATCGATATATGATTTAGGTGTGTGTTCTTCCGGAACATTAAAGTTTAAAAAAATGAACTCTGGTTGCAGTACTAATATAGAAATGATTGTCTCTCATTAAGAAAAAGTGCCTAATTTTTTCAATATGTTAACTTTTTTGTGCATGTACATTAATGATTATTCCAGAATACACTTAGTCATCTATCATTTTTTCTTTTTTAAAAACTTATATGAAAGCCAAACTGTCACTGCCTTATCAATTTATAATTGGGTGTTTTATTGTTTACCCTTTAATGTAAATGTGTTTGTGTAAATAGATATTGTCTATTGTACATTATCATGCACCGGTACATACAGTGCTATTTTTTTTTAAATCAAACTGACCATCTAAATAAATGTATTTGTTGTTCGTTGGTTGCAAATATTATAAGGCTGATTTAATTTGGATAATGCATAGTTTTGTTATTTGAGCCTTTATGTGCATAAACCATGTGTATTTTCCTCCAAACTCATTTAATTTCAATAAATGTCCGGGAATTTTCATTACTTCAATGTCGGATAATCTGAAAACATATATGACATTTTCTGGTGCGGAAGTTTATCCAATCATTGTGTATTCAAGATTAATAAAAGGGTACATGCTATCTTGATATTGTTTGCTATGGATATGACGCAAGCTCGGTTAACCGTGTCACAAGTTTCCATTTTACTATAAGTGATCGCCAAAAAATTAAAAGTATCATGTTTGTCACGATATATATAAAATTTTAGTATAAAATCATACAGAAGTTTTTTCGCCTCGCTTCGCCAGGCGCTATATATTCAATTATTGGGAATTACGCCCCCTTTCAAAAATCCTGGATCCGCCCCTGACTATTATCACGTACACATATTCACAAATAATGTGATGTCAGACTTGATGACATGTAACTGTAAATAATATTGATCTAATTTGTAAAAGAATATACTGTTTACAAATTCAACACCTACATTTCTTGCTATTAAAATTAATTAATAGCAGAAAGTACAACATAAGTATAAAAAAATTGTATTATTTTACAGGTTAATATCATATTAACCATTTTAATGGGGATTGTCGTAATGAAATGCTTTCTAGTGGTTCTTGGTATATCAAGATTAAATATACTTGGTAAGTTTGTTCTGTGACTATTGTGTATGAATTGTTATTATTTGATAGTTCCATAGTTTATTTTAAATAAATTAAATGTCCATGAAGTGCAGACTCATTCCTGCTATATATATTTCAAATACTGAAAGTGAACAATAATCCTATCTTATGATGACAACATCATTCAACCCGAAGCGCTTTGAAAGCACCAGATTTACAAAGTTTTATCTTAAATCATAATCAGAAACATTAGACTATATATATATTTGGCATTGAACATACAACTATGTGCTTTAAAATTGAAACGCGGTGGTTCATTAAAGATACAATGATTCCATTCCAGTGGACGAAATTCAAAACTAAATGTCAAATAAGCAGGGCTAACATAATTTGCTGACTGACCAAACAAAACATGTATAAATATTTATTGCTTGATAACGATTATGTTAAAAGAAAATATGCATCGGAAACTAAATCTAGTAACAATTTTGAAAACTGCTGAGACACCTGTACGTTATTCTTGAAGTAGACTACACTAGTTTTAATATTACACAAATATCTATAAATATGTTTTCGCCATAAACAACAACAGTCGAGGCAAATAGGAAATACCATAATATTATGAAATTTCATAATTTTTTGATATATTGGATCAAAGTGGAGTTGTCTTTCTTAGACGCCTAGTGTCAAAATGGACATGGGAGATAACAACTTTTGTCTTAAACGACGTCGAAAGGAAGACAACTCATTATTATAAAAAGTTAACATTTAAAATATAAATTTGTATAACAATTTAGGAATTTATTAAATTGTGTTCGAACTATTGGTTTTATTATACACAAGGAGTAACTCTAGATAAATCAAACTTGACTAAAGATTATTTAAAATCTGGTGTAATGCACTAGAAAGAATCATTATATTTATTACTATTTTATCAGTCTCCGACATAGCAAATCATGCATTTGGAGGTCAATTGCGAATTTATTTACAGTTTATTTATTATGTAAACAAATTAAAGACCGTAAAATCATGCGAAATCACAGAAAAATATTTCTAAAAAAAACACTGTAAAATATGTTTGAAAATCTAACAACGGGAGATAAACAAACAATCGAATCCCTTACAAAAACTGATAACTATGACAATAATTATTACGTTCTGTCAATAGCCTGTGTACAAATAAGCATAGACATTTATGCGATTGATGCGGATCTGACATTACAACATTAAGAATCTACAAAGCTGAAATGTAATTCTTTGCATCATAGCAAATTATTAATGTCCAAATGATGGACATTGGCTATCTGATAAAGAAAATAAATTCACTAAAAGCTTAAAAACAAACAGCAAAATGTCCATAATATGTTATATATACGTAGAATTCTGAGTTGAGGTGAATTAATTGTAACAAAGAATATTTATACCTTTAATCTTTTTTAATTGAACATGCTCATGGAGATAAAACACATTTGGCAAATAACCTATTGTTATTTGGAAAGAAACTACTCAGCATAAATTGATCGATGACAATTTGTTCACCATGGTTCCAGTTGAATGTCAAACTATTTGTACATTTAAATGCGTATTATGTGCATATTTCTACGTACATTTGTCAGATATTTCTATATGAAAGAAGTGATTGTATACAAATGCTTAAGTTAAAGCAAGATAAAACTGAAAAGTATTGATTCAAAACAGTTACATCAGTTAAAAACAGAGCATAAGTAAGGTCATAAAGTCTCCTCACGGCAATCCCACCTCAGGATATCACGTATTGATGACTTCTGACCATGCAAAATAAATTATCTTAGTCAAAGTGATATTTCAAGCTAATTAAAATTAAAAAAAAATCAGAACAAGATCTGAGATAATCAGTACTGTTATTGTAGTGGGGTGGGTGGCTAGGGAGTCTTTTTCTGTCGATTACGAGTAGAGCATGGCATCATTTGGATCAGATACTTTGGTAACGAGTATATTAAATTAAAATGATTTTCATATTTTGATTTCATTCATTAGAATTTAAGTTAGAGAATTTAATAATTCGCAGTCATTTAAGATAAAAATAAAAAAAACACAATATTAAAAAAGTGTTCCAACAAGAAGGAAAAAAAAAAGACGAATGCGTATGAACAAGGGACCCATATCTTATTCGTTCTTCATATGCATATTTGTGGTTCTGCAACACAATGGAGTAAACATTTGAAGGCGTTAAATACATTACTAAGTAACCTTTGCAGAAATAGTCACATGATAAGAATCATATTACAATTTATAATGTGAAATGTAAATAATTTGGAATACAATTTTCTTCGTTCACATCTGTGTTTGTTGGTAATCTTATCTAAGGGCACCTGCTGGGAGAGATGTACTTCCTGATAATTTAACAAAATATATAAATAACCAGTGACACAGTTCCAGGCTTACTGCTAGTGCAGTTTTATAGAATAGTATAATAATCTACATTGGAAAAGATTGATAGAAATTAGATTTGAAGGTATACATGAATTGCATAACATGACTCTTAGGGTTTTATTTGAAATGTAAATACCGTGCATTTTTCAAAGTAATAATTTGTCCACACACAATGTTTATAAGTTTTTATACAGTTTGCAGATTCAGATTAAATAAAACAAAAAAGTATCGCCACTAGAATAACATAAAATATTCAAATACACGTATACGGCATAGCTATAGTGAATAAATTAATAATAATAATTGATCAATGAAATCATAGAATGATTTGAAGATAAAATATTAATTCGACTGCAGACCAACAAATCAAACAACACAATACAAAATAACGTAAAATAGAGTTTTAACACCATCCAATAAGAAGTTTCAATAGATTTAGAAAGATTAGATAATTGCTCATCTAAATATTTCCAGCTGAAGATTAAAAACATAATATAGTTACTACTCAGTATCCCGATCTGAAGTTGAATGCAAAAAAAAAACCATACGTGTCAAGTAAGACGTATCAAAACACTGTTACTACATGTCTGAACTTAATCTCATTTATAATCTTATTTATTACATATGTAGTTACTAATGAATTTGTCAATGAAGGAAAACGTGTTCCTAATCATTTAACTATTTAACAAACTTTACCATCTCTCTCATGCCTATGTTCTTCTGGAATTTTTGTTAAACCTATTGACAATAAACAAACAAAGGCGCCATTTCCTTTAAACGTTTCTTAAGCTGCCTAAATTTAACTATTTTCCATCCATGTACTACATATGTGTTCATACACTTTGACCGTATATGTATAAAACTCATACAGTCATTCATGATTTGGCTGATACAGTTTATTTTGACTGATTTCGATTTACGATATGAAAATAAGAAGATATGGTTTAAAACAGATGCCAAATGACGTAGAAGTTACAACTATAGGTTACCGTAAGGCCTTCAACAATGAGCAAAACCAATAGTGCATAGTAAGTTACACATTGCCCCGAAACGACAAATATAAAACAGTTCAAACGAGAAAACTAACGGCCTTAAGTTGGGGTCACACATTCACGATTTTTACTGCCGTCCTTGACAGAACCATTCCCGATTAAGATTTGTCAAACGTCTGATCAAGATTCTGTGAATCGGGGCTGGAAATTGAAACTTTAATTAAAATTTGTAAAAACATATATTGAATCATAACAATCAGATATTGTTCAGAAAGCGTCCAAGTTCGGCCGTTTCCAGCCGAATTTGTCCCGATTATACGGTTTTAAATCAGTATTAATCCGATTTGTATCTCTCACATGGTAAAGAACGATATAATATGTCCCGACAGCATCCCGATTATACCGAATGTGATCCGACAGAGTTCAGAGAGTGACCAGACAGTGAACCGACGCTGACGGAAGATATATATCCGTGGGTATTATTGCCAAATTTCGTATTAATAACGGGACTGATCCGCAACGGTTTTGGCAAAGACTGTTCGCATTAGGCAAGATCTTATTGCAATCTGGACTCAATCGGCAAAAAACAGCAATGACACATTTCTCCAGATCATGTCCGTTCAACAGGACACCGTCCAGAAAACACAGAACATAATAACGATTGTTACGATTTCGATCCGATACAGCAGAAACTGTCACGACATAGTTACGATTGTAATCCGGTTATAGATAATATCAGTTGAGTCTTCCTGAATGTTACGGAACTCACCTAACTGTCGGGTGTTTAGCTAACCTCTGCGGACCTACATATTAATTCGTGACCTTCGCATGCTATTCATGTAATGTTTGCAATAATTCACTAATCCATCATTTCAATAAGCGGATCTGTGTTTAGTATATATAATTTAAAAGTATGTGATATGTCTTGTCTAGTCTTGTCTTGTCTTTCAGTCAATTACGATTTTTAATGCCGTCCTTAACAGGACCATTCCCGATTAAAATTTGTCAAAAGTCTGATCAAAATCCTCTGAATCGTGGATGGAAATTCTAAACTTAAATTAAAATTTGTAAAAAAAAAATATATTTAAACACGACAACAATCAGATATTATTCAGGAAGCGTCGATATTCAACCGTTTCCAAGCGAATTTGTCCCGACAATCCCGTTCTAATCCGATTTTTATTATTCGCATGGTAGAAAAGGACCGAATCTGTCCCGACAGCGTCCCGATTCTACCAAATGTTATCCGACAGAGATCAGACAGAATTTCGTATTAAGGTAGATCATAGGTATATATTTCCTGAGATAGAATTTTCTTATACTTTGCGACAATGAAGATTTAACTATGCTTTTTTCAAAAATATAATAAAAAATATGGGTCACCGTGCTATTTTCTAAGCTACGAGTCGTTGAAAATTGCCTAAATTTGGTTAGCTTGTTCATGAAAAAACACATTTGTGCGCATAAAAAAAAATCTATGAGATAAAATTTTTAAATAAATTGTGAGAAGATAGGTTTTATAATATGTTTTAAGAAAATAAAAAGAAAAAATGGTGTCACCGAACTTGTTTTCTTGCTACAAGTAAAAATTAAAAATTTCCCTATCAGTCCAGTATA